TAGGCATCTGTTATTGACCTGTTTTGGTGATGAGGTACTAGGTGAAATGGGTGCTTTGACTCAGCATAGTTGTTCTTGAAACAGAAAACTTACTTTTTAGGGTGTGTTGTTTTTTTTTTAATTGCAGATTTTACTATTTCATCTTGTTCAAATTTCCCTTTCTTAACCTTAGTTACTTTACGCAGTCTAGCCTTCTTAACCAATGCTCAATCTAAACATACCATGGTCATAAATAATTAGTGGCTGCTGTCACGTATTGAGTTGATAGCTTCATGTCACAGAAAATTAGGCTAAATTAAGGGTAGCTTTTTCACTGGTATGCTCTGGAATTAAAGTTTTAAGAAAAGATAAAAAATATGCCAAAACTTGAGCATGTACATGTAGGAAATTTGAAGTCTTATATTGTTCACTTTGATTTTTCTCAGATTTATCCACTTGATGTGTATGCTCTGACATACTGGACTCATTTTTAGAATTTTTACTTATTTTTCAACCTAAAGAAATACCATCTGTTATACAGGTAACTAATTTGGAAAATGGTTTTTAATATCCACTTTCCAAAACTATTTGACAAATTTGAACTTAATTGTGGGGGTAGGCAATCATCAAGTGTCAAGGTTCCAGTAACATTTTGAAGTTAATTTGAAAATTCGATTGAGGAGTTACAATTATCATCATAATTTAGTTTAGACACACTAACGACTCGGGGTGCTTTGATATCTATGCAAAATATCACCTTGTTACTTTCAGATCATCTAGTTCAAGATAAAGAATTGGTTATTTAATTTTCAAATGCTTGTGCATGGAGGCTTAAGTTGATTTGCAGTCAGTTTTACTACAACACTTCTTTAGCGTAAGATGTAGGGCAGAACTGTAGCAAAGGTTGTAGCTACTCCCTCATTTATGCTTGCCCATATTACTCAGAAAGGTTAGAAATCTTCTTGGAATTAAAGCTTAGATTTTCTGTAGCTTAATGACGCTTGCTTGGAAGGGGCTTATATGCACACTGGGAAGGAGGATTTTCAAGCTTCTGTACAAAGATCAAATAGTAAATTTGCCAGGCAGGGAAATTTGGTTTTCTGTTATAAGAGGAACACGATATGAGATCGTATTCAAGATCTTTAATACATGTGTAGCAGTCACAATTCAGAAAAACACAAGAATGTAAATTAGGGAGATATTGCTTACTGCAGAGGAATAATGTGAGATTATATTGCAGAGAAATGTAATTTATTAAAAAAAACCCCAAAAACCCCAAGGAGAAAAAAAAAGCAACCAAATATCCCAGAACCATTGTTTTCATAATCTGATTACAAAATTTCCCTAAACTGGAACCAAATTACATGCATTCACTGCTCTCTTCTAACCTTGGCAGGCAGCTTGTTTGCTGCCACCTAGGCTCTGTATCTCAATGATACCACCAAACTGCAATTTGTTGAAGTTAGGCACCTAAATACTTCCAAAGATCTGGGTTTCATTTTTGGAAGTGATAGTAAATGGGCTCTATTAAAATACTCATCACTTCCACAGCTGTGTAAAGGTGTTCAAATGCTGCAGGGGATGCTGACTAGACTACTTTGTCTGTGTTTTCCTGGTGATGAACAGGACTGTATTATGGTTGCTGAGAAGTAAATCAGAGTGAAAATCAGACACTAAATCAAGTTCTGCTGCTGAGAAGAGGATGAACATGGTTGTTCTCTGTTCTAGAAGATGGACAACAGGAGCATCTTCAGTGCGATTGTACAGTCTCTAAGCAGATGCTACAGAAACCAATCTTAACCTCCAGGCACTGTTTTCCAACTCTGTTCTGTTTTCCCAGCATCTCATGAAGCATGGTAGTGTTGTTACGTATCCATTGACTCTTGTCAGCGCAGCTCCTTTTCTCAATTGAATGCCTTGGCTAAAAAAAGTTTGGTTACGTTCTTCATGTTCTGTAGTGGGTGAGTTGGATGTATTAGGATGGGAGTGGCAAAGTTAAAAATCTTTCAAGCACGCTTGGTGTTTCGCAAAACTTATAGTGATGATAGATTTTTGCATTAAGATCACCCAAAATTATGATTTTCATAGTCAGTCTGTACAGAGGAAGATTACAGGTTAATGTGGAAGGGTTAATAGTGAGGGAGAGAGGCTGAATGATAGTGTTGAAGGTGACAAGGAATACAAAGAAGCAAGAAAATTAAAGTAGATAGATCAAGAAATGAGGGGAGGTAGCCAATCGAACAGCCATGACCAGGGAGGAGGATGTACAGCTGGTAGAATGAAAAGGCAAAGGGAAGTAAAGTGAAGTTAGGAGTTTTTCTAACAGTCAAATAAGTTGAAGTGACTATAAATTTATTACCGTTTAATGTGTATGTTGACTGTATGACTGAAAAACTTTCCTCTCAGACAAGTGTAACAGTGAGGGTGTTTCTTACGTTGCTGATGAGCATCAAACCTGAGCTAACAAGTTGTGTAAAGCTTCTCGGTTTCTATAACTATCTGTCTTCTGTGGTTTATAATGTCTCTTTCCTAGAAGTTAAATGCTTGAGACTATATAAGACATTTTGATAGAATTTAAGGCTACAGAGAACTCTATGAACTTTAGTTTATTGTATAGAGAAATCTCTCAGCAGCATTCATTTAGAAAAATGGTATGCGTTTTTCTGTTTTTACAAAGATTAGCGAGCTTTTATCGCAAAACTTGATTGCTAGCTGAATACAATGGATATTTTAGTGTCTTTTCATTCCATGTGGTTTTGTGTTGCTGAAAACGAGGATTTTATTTCTTTTATTATGAGGAAATGTTCTGTCTTGATGAGAAAGCAGTATTTTTGAGTAATTTAGAAGAATTTTTTAGGATTAGTGCTGATTCACTTGAGGATCTGAAACTGAACATTTAATGTTATGTTTTTCCTTAGTTCAAAATATCGTGTGAGTATTTGTGTTTGTAAACAGGAAAAGCTTTTTAAAAGATGGGTAGGTTAATGCTATTAAAGCATTTTAGAAATATAATTCGACAATGTCAGCATCTAGCAGCACTTTTTTCCCTGGAAGATTTATGTCTGGTGCTCCAATTTGGAGTTCTTCCTGCATGAAAAAAAACCATTTCTGCTGCTGTTCTGTTGCATTTCCTTTGGTTTTAGAAGGGCTGTCTTTTTTACAGCATGGAAACAGTTTAATTTAAAAAAAAAAAAAATAAAAAAAAAGAAGGAAGGAGGAAAGTTCTGGGGCAATAATTTTTTTGTGGTTTCTTGGGAGAGGGTTTATTTGATCAGTCTTAGGATATAATTCATTTAAATATTTTTGTAGCTATTTAGAAATGCTGAGGTTCTCCCAGTTTTGCTCCCTGCCTGTATCATTAACCTTGGTGTGGCTGGGCATGCCAGGTGTCTTTCTTACTGTCAATTTGCATTCATTTTTCACAGCTAAGTGCAGTGCAGGGTCCCAGGTGTGTGCGGGAGGAGGTGTTCTCCTTCCCAGGCAGATGTGATGGCAGCGACCTGGGCTCTAAGTCCTTGTCTGTTTGGAGGTGCAGGAAGAGCTGTCGGGTCAGTATGTGCTGCTCAAATACCTGTTCCCGCTGCGCTTGGCAGGAAAGGCATGCTTGTAGCTTGCTGGGGTTCAGAAAGAGCTAGCTAGAGATCTCTTAATGAGATGATTTCAGATATTCTGTGGTGGATGTGATGGATGAAAAATAAAATAAATATTAAAAAAAAATGCGGGGTTTCTAGGGAGTGATGGATGTACTCCAGTAAGTACTAATTCCGGTCAAGTTTTTGTTGCGGTTTTGTAACTTCCCCGATGTCTGAACCACATGTAAGTGTTGTGTTTCGGAGGGAAGGATGGACACTGCCACAGAACTCTTCCAACAAGCCTTAAGGAGCGCATTAGAAAGATCTGTAGTGCATAGATGTTCTGAATCAAATGCATTTTTTTTGCAGCGATCTTTACTGTGTTTTATGTTTGCAGGTAATCAAAGCTGATGTTTACATGATTGGGGAACAAACTGTCATTTAAAATGCTATTTTCATGTTTTTAACTGTACTGAGTTTAAATTTTCTCTGTTCTGTTGTGCGCTGTAGCTCTGCAGCTTAAATCATGCTAAAAGCTAGCTAAAAATGTTAAATTACTTTGTTTTAGATGAGCTGACCTGTATTTCCTTAACTTCTAAACTTATTTGTGAATTCTGAGAACTCATAACTAAAAAATATTTCAATTCAACTGTTATTGATGCTTTTCCTGTGATTATTTTTCACTGAAGGTGAATCTCTAAATCTGCTCAGCGTATTGCTTTGAAATCACTAAGTTGTAAGTGTACATATATATGAGTATACATAAAATACTGCAAAATTTGGTTATCTTTCATAGGGAAGTTTTTACCTTTGAAGACAATGTTAGGACCAAGATATGATGAACAGGTTGCTGAAGAAAATCGTTTTCACCCGAGTATGTTATCCAACTACTTAAAGAGTCTGAAGGTAAAGTTAAATTTTCTAGTAATTGAAACATTACTTTCATTATTAATGTTTATTCAAATGTTGCTTTTCAGATTTAAGAAAAAAGTGGTTGATGGCTTCCTTTGGGACATCTGTACAGAAAATTTTTTTTTTTGTTTACATTTTCAGGTTTTCTCTGCAACTCCTAAATTTCCAAACGTACTTTCTTACAGGCAAGAATTGTGCAAAATCCTCCAGCTCATTCACTGTATTAGCAGCAAGAATCTTACAGTTCTCTGTTATTACTGTTGCATCTTGGAGAGATGTCCTTGTCAAAATTGAGATAGTCTGAGTTTGTAGTTTTACAAATGACTCTTGTGTATGGATGTGTTAAGTTGCAATTTTACTTATAGGAGTGAAAGCATTTAAAAGTGAAAGGAGAATTTCATAGAACTCTTCTGCAGTTTCAATGCATAATTTTCTTCTTTTGATGCATAAAATGCTTTATGGTATCTAACCAGTAATACCCAAGTATGGAAGAAAACAATTTATGGATTTTATCCAGTAACTTCTTAGTGAAAAAAAAATGCATAAATAGAAAAAAATTTTAGGAGCATGGATTGGGACCCAGGAAGGGGGGCAGATGCCTTTATCACTGGGTTACAGAGTTGTGCTTCTGGCTTATTTCTTCATTCTCTGTTTTGCCCATTTCTGTCTGTCTACTTCAACTTGTATGTTATTCTGCACCGTAGCACAACTTTGACAATAAAGGTGGGGAACAGGACCTTTCCAGCCTTTCATGTAGGTCTGTGAAGTGTTGTGCCCAGTCCAGTGCATCTGGAGATGTAGGAAATGGGATTTTGAACCTCCCAGGCAAAGAAAGGCCTACAACCTAATTCTTTTAATCTGTTTATTAAACTGTTATATAGAAGGATAGCACCATTTTTTTGACTGTGTGTTTTATAAAACTGATCACGCTAGTGACGTTTTTTGTGTTTTTTTTTTCTTTTTTTTTGCTGTTGATCTAAGTTAAATTAATTCTGAACTTGTTTAACAATACCAGAGCTTAAATATCAGAAGAATCAGGTGACAAAAATATGGGAATCTTCATTTTATGAATCTTATTTAGGCTTAGGTATGGAGTAGGTGGTGAGCTACTCAGTGTAGCAGCAATAGAGGTACCTGTGGGCTAATGTGATAAGAAAGTGCTATCAGTGAAGCATATGTGCCTATTCTCAGGTGCTTGAACTGGCAGGATTTTTCTTGTTTGAATTCTTGGATCTATGCATCTGAATTCTACTTGAGTTCCTCTTTTACATATTTTGTTAGTTTTGGCTCTGTCCGGCTTCAATGGGCATACTTAGAAATTTTCCAAAACCAATCTTATTCATGGTTTAAAGTAATTTAAAATTCTGCATATATTTTGGAGTTATAGAGAACTTCAGAGACTTAACTCAGAATTTCTGACTGTTTGCTTGTTAGTGGTTTGTCACCAAAAAAGAAATCATGGTAAGCCTTCATGACCTTTCCACTAGGCACATCAATCAGTTCTGTTGCCATACTACAAATTCGTAATGTCTTGAGTGACATCAGATGATTAGACTCTGATAGTACAATTACAAGCATGAGGATCCCCACTTGTATTTTGGTAATTTTGGTTAACAAGCAGAAAATATAATTTCTCTCAAACTCCCTGTTCTCATCAAATCTGTTATATTGTCTTGAACTCTGGTACTGTTGCTAGATGTTTGCTATTTGAAAACATATGATTTTTTTTATTCGCAGAAATATGCAGTGGGTTACTGGAGTGCTATATTTGTAGATCAGCAGTTTACCAACAATCTGGCAGCGAGATGAAAGTGCAGTTGAGGAGATCTTGAAAAGTGGATTTTCCCAAGACAAAAGTAGCTCACTTTATGGTTCTCATCATTTTACTGCAGTGTGTTTTACTGCTAATACTTTGCAGAATGAATCACTTCTGAAACCTGGTTATTACTTAAGTCCATATAGTTTATCTCCCAAATAAGAGACTTCAGCAGAAACTTTTACATCGGATTTTGGTAATAGTGAGATATTGCTGCTACCACAGATTTTTGAAGGTACTGGTTCAGCGTTTAAGACAAGATTTGTCTGGGAGGAACTTTCTCTAACAAGCTTCCTGTGCGATTCCTTTTTCTCATGGAGCTGTTTGCTGAAAATCTGAATGTTAGAAACTGATTAGATAAGGGATAGCAACGCCATTTTTCTTCTGATTGCCAGTATTGACATAGTATCTTACTGGTCTCATAAAAAAATTTTGCAGGAGCAATTGGTGACAGTGAGAATAATTTTATTTTTTTTTTATTTCTTTCTTGAGTCGGTAGGTTAGTACTGTCTATGCTTTATAAAAGGTAGTTTTATTTCTGTTATGAAGAACTAGGACATTAGTTAACTCAAAAGAATGTTTGGGCAATTAGTATGCTCAAGTTACAATATTCCTATTAAGAAAACTAGTTTCAGTTTTCAGCCACATTATTGTTTTCATAGATAAATTCCATCACTGATTTAACCTATTTTCCTCAAATAAGAAATGCAGAAAAAAAATCCTGGGACCGGAGAGAATTCAGTGTATTGTAGTATGCTCTCTCCCTCCGGGGGAGGATGTTTTCAAGTTCCAATGTCTAATGAGAAACTTCTGGGGTCATACAAGGGGAACCTCGCTAAGCCCATTTAATTGCACAGCAGCAGAAAGACCGCATGCATAAGGCATCAGTAGCTGGAGATAGCTGGACTGTGAGAAAGTGAGGAGGAAGGCTTTTATAGCTGTAGGAGGACATGGAGAGCCTGGCCAAAATAAGTATGAGCAGAATGGAGGTGGTATGAAGATCTTGGTATTATTGTATGTAGAAGATGAGAATTTCAAGCTATCGATGAGCTTTTCTTCCTTCTATCCAGTCATCTTTTACAATTAGAAGCAAAAAATATAACTAGTTTCAGTTGTATTTCAATGTGGTGTCTAAGATTGTAGTGTTGCAACAGTCCTTGTACGAAATAAATGTATGTTTTAGTGAGAAGTTGCTCAACAATTTAAAATTATTTTTTCTTCCAAAGCTGTGTCATTCAATGGGCATGGTGGACTGAAATATGTTTCATACAAAACATTGTCTGGAAAAACAGTTTTTTCCCGTGGGTGACTGGCTGTTTTAGCTTAGATAGTCTTTCAAAAATCAGGTCCTATTAAGAACTTTCTTGGAGCAAACTTAAGAGAGCATGACTGAGAGGATGACTGTGATGACTGGTGTGATGTCAGGGTTTCAGAGCAGAGCAAAGCACCTGCGCGATGAACGTACGTGTACTAGAATCTATTCTGTAGGTGAGAATTGTGGTCGGTCAGGACAAGTGTAGTATTCACCCTGGTTCAGTGACTGAAATGTTTCGATTCCTGTGGTACCAGTGTTTTTTTGCATGTATTTTTGGAACATCATAATTGTATACTTTGATATGTTACATAATCCCCCCGCTTTTTAAAAATGTCTTTATTATTTTCTTTTGCCTTGCACTCTCTAAATTGTGGTGTGTTATGTGCAGCTCATCCCATGAACTGAGAGAGCAGATGTTTATGCTTTCTGTAAAGCAAGGAAACTGCTTTCACGCCTTAAATGCTCTATATGCCATACATGCTTTTATAGCTTTGGCTAAATTATATCGGATGCCTATTTGGTTTACTGCTCCATGAAATGTGTGAGGAACAGTGCCACTTCACAAGATCTTCACTTGTATATGATTTAAATGATTTGTAATAATTGCAAAAGAATAACAGGCCAGAAGTCCTAGAGTCCTGTAGTTCAGAATTTCCTCTCGAGCAGACACTTGGCGGTATTTCATTCTCCTATACCAATTAAATGCAACGTCCCAAATGCTTGGTGACACCTTGGGTCTGAAGTACGTTGTAGTGTTCTCCTGGCTTCTACGTGTCAGTCAGGAAACTGAAATCTGTAAGTGAGTCTGTTCAAAAGGCTAATTCCTAGCATTTGAGGGAAAAGTATGTGAGTATTCTTTGAGCTTAAAAGCTTTGACATAAAATGAATTTTTGTGCTCTCACGCATCTTCTCAGTGATAGTTCTTCATTTAGCAGGAGTTTGGGGAAGTTTGGAAGCTTCTGGTGGGAACATGGAAGCTGCTGGTATTTGAGAACAGTGGGCTTGGGAATTGGCTTTGAGTTTTTACCACTAAAAGGGGATTGTGTCGCTCCTACTTTTGGATGGGAGGATGTGAAACTATGTTCTGCAAATCACTTGCATTTCTTCTTGTAGCTCTTTAACAATTTCATGTATTAAACAGTGTTACCTTTTAATCTGCTCATGCTTTTATTAAAGGTTGTTTTCCTCATGATTCTTTTTCCCTTTCTGCAGACTGTCAGATAATACAGCGTTTTTTTCAAGAGTAATTCACATTTTGGAATGTCGTCTTTCTTACTAGACTGCAGCCGAATGCAAAAACCTTTACTTTAAAATTATGTTTTTATTAAATCTTAATCTTACTTTAAAAATAACTTTTTTTTCGCCTTAGCTGAGGACATCTTGGAAGCGTTACACCTAGTCCCATATTGTACATAAAAGAATAGGTTATCAAGCTAAGCTATGTAGCAGTTGGGGAGAAGGGTAGTTATGGGGCCATTTATGTGGCTTCATAGTCTAGAGCTCTCTGGTGAAAACACACCTGATTCTCATATCAGTCTTTTTTGCCAGCTCTTAACCACACTATTGGTAGGATGCAGAACACAAAGGGAGATTCCTGTGCTTTTTTTTGGGGCATGGCATTTTACTGGAAGATAGTGTGTGGATTCCTTCCATGGAGCCATTGCTTGTGTAGAACAGTAGAAAAATATCTGAATAGTTTTCATAGAACTAGCTCATTTTAGATATACTTTTCTACCCTAGCATGTTGTCCTGTGCAGTCACCTAGAAGTACTGGTGTGGGAATATGTCATTCTCCTCTGAACAGTTATTTTGAACTGGTTTATGTCAGTGTCATAGTGTTATGGACCTACAGTGTGTAGCACCTGGAAATTTTGTGTGGTCTTACTTGTGAATTAAGTAGTCTTTGGGATATTTGCTAAATGCTGTTGAGAATGGAGAGGAAGGAAAGTAATCATTTAGTTAATTGCCTTTTGTATACTTCCCACAAAATTAATCACTGGCTAGTATGCTGTCAGTCTCTATGTTTAGCAGCTGGGTTGATACTAAATATTTGAACTTTCAGGTGATGTAATGTTGTTTTCAGGTGGACCCCTGCTGAAGTAGCTTGTATTTCTGCAAAACACAGTAATAAAAGTAAATACAGCATTCTGAATATAATATACAAAGTTGAAGTAAACAAGGAGAAATTCAGAACTGATTTAGATATTATACTACAAATGCTTAATGCTGCTGACATAACATTATGATGCTTTTTAATATCTGATAAATAAAAGTATTATGAAAGTATAAAAGTATTATAACGTGTATAATCAGAACTTTGAATACCATGGATAACTACCTCTGTAAATAATTGGAAATTTGTCTTTGGGGTCTACTGAACAACATATCCATGTGAAGCAGCTGCTTCTGAACTGTATTCCAGTTATAGTTGGAATTTATCTTTTCTGAATTATCTTGAAGCAGTGTTTTAATTTGTCATTCTTCCAACTGCACTGCTAAATTATTGCTAGTCTGTTGACCTTAAGGTAAATAAAACCTGATCAAAATCCTGTTTATGAGTATGTGCTGGAGTTTTAAATATGTTGAAGATGCAGTGTTCTTCTGTGTTTTTGCATGCGTAACACGCTTCAGTGTTAATGTATTTTTAAGTGCGCTATTGATGTATCTTTAAAAAAGACAAAGCTGTGGAGCAAGTATTTTGCTAAACTGCCACTCTTAAAATGCCTTTTAAAAAGCCATCTAATTTCATGTTGAGGATCCTACTGGAAAGCATGACATTCAGCATTTTGACCAACAGCAATTACTTGCGCTTATAAGGCAGGAAACAAGGAATACTTTCAGTACACAGGTGTGTTAGTGGGCTGTTTTTGCTCGGTAATCCTGGGAGGTTTATGGTTGGTGGAAATTTTGTTTGGACCAAGGATCAGTAGGATGCACTTTGCTTATGTTCTCTGTGTGTTAGATGCCACCCAGTGGAATTTCTGCTTTCCATCTTGCTTTTTAAAAACATAGTCACTTCCACAAGGCTGCTTTAAAAGACCTATTTTACAGCTATAAAAACCAAACACTAAAAATGTAAGTTCATGCACAAGGGGACACATTAGGGTAGAGTGGGCAAGGCATCCTGAATTCAGGTGCGTCCTAACATCTGAGTGTTGACACTGCCACTTAATTACTGACAGCATCTTTGAAGATTTCAAGTTGTTTCACGTTTTAGCTTTGAATAAAATGTTTCTGAGAATTTACAGGAATTTTTGTTTTAAACTTGAAAATGCGTTCGTTTGTTTTGCACTCTAATTTAATGGATGGGTAAATTAAGATGAGTTTGTTTTTTTTTCTGAGAGTATACTTATATTTGTCTCAATAGTTAATTTTTCTTATGGTACTTCCACTGTGCCAGTGTTTAATATTGTTCTACTTAAAGCATAAGAGCACCCGATTCCACCTTACTTGTCTTTTGACATGTTAAAGTAATTCTTTGCCAGATGCTTTCCTGCTGTTAGCAGATCTTTCTTATTTAGAAACATTGGTGGAAACAAACTGAAGTTTTTGAATTGATGGCTCATGCTAATTCAGATACCAGCTTTCACAAAGAAACACAGATTGTGATCGTGGTGAAATATAGATTTTATGAACAAATGCAATATTTAAGAATTTTTAAACTTGCAACTGTAGCCTGCTATTGCTTTTAATTTGGATGTTATTAGCCATTTAGTATTTATGCACTGATATTTGAACCACATATGTAAGTTTTTGTTTGGTTTTTTTTTTTTTTTTAGGTTAAAATGGGTTTACTGGTAGACTTGACCAACACCACTAGATTCTATGATAGGAATGATATAGAGAAAGAGGGCATTAAATATATAAAGCTCCAGTGTAAAGGGTAAGTTGTCTGCACTTTTAAAATATTTAGCTTTTAATTTGAAAGATCACACTGAAGTAATTACTCACTTTCTTTTTTCTTCCCTTTCCCCCATCTGTCTCCTAATCTGTGTGTTCCTGTGTTTTTCAGGCATGGTGAGTGCCCTACACCTGAGAATACAGAAACATTTATCCGTGTATGTGAACACTTCAGTGATAAGAATCCCTCAGAGCTTATAGGTCTGTCGTCTTACATCCATTTTATATCCATCATTAGTTTTTACTGCTAATTTATTTCATGTTTACTCATAACTGCAGTCTCTTATTCTTAAAAATCTAAGCAAAGGAATTTCCTCAGTACAGTGTTCATGCATCCATCAATTTGATTAGAGTTATTGACTTAATGCAGAAAAATATAAGGCTTAAGCACTGTCTACAAATACGTGATACTTGCATTGTGTTTTTGTAACTTCTGCTGATACAAATGCAGGTTGTGTATTGCCTAAGTATTGTTTTGGCATTTGATGGTCTGGCTTACTTGAAGTCATATTTGATAACCGTATGATCAAGGATTCTTTAGCAAATTTCACAAAGCAGCTGATTAATTGCTGAAAACTGGTAGCAGATATTAGGCTAAGTTTTTCTTCTGTGGTGTACTGTCTTACAGTGAATATTTGAATGTTCTTAAGGATAATTTTTTTTTTTTTTTTTTTTTTTTTACCCAGAGCAAAATAAGTACTCAGTTTAATTTGGGTGGCTTCTAGTTTTAGTTTAAAACATTTTATTCTGATTTCTGTTAAGCATATTAGTGTTCAACCCTATCTGCAAACTGTCAGAGACAAGAAATTACTTTGCAGCTGAGTTTCCAGAGTCAGAATGGGTGTTGTCCTCAAGCCTCTTTGATGATAATTCTGCAGCCTTCCTGAATCTGAGTGTCTGTGCGACTTAGGAGTGCATGGAACAGTTGTTTGTGTAGGTGTCATTGATAAGAGCTTGATAAACTAAGCTGGTATGTTCATGCAGTTTAGGATTCATAGAATTGTACAGTACTTGAGGTTGTTGGAAGCGACCTGTGGAAATCAGGTAGTCAGTTGCCCTTCCTTAGAGCAGGGCCAGCTAAAGCAGCTTGCTCAGGAGTGTGCCCATTTGGGTTTTGACCATCTCCGAGCTTGAAGACTCCCCAACATCTTCTGGCAACCTCTTCCAGTATTTGCTCACCCTTACAATGTACAGGATTTTTTTCTTATGGTTTAAACAGAATTTATTGTATTTCAGTTTGTACCCATTGCTTCTTGTCCTGTCACAGGATACCACTGAGAATCTTTTTTTTTTTTTTTTTTTTTTTTTTTCAGTGCTTGAGAGATTTACTTTGGGCACACTCTCTTTTCACATAATTTAAGTTCTTTCTTATTTCTTTATTTCACATAGAATGCAATATTAATTTGAGACCTATGTTTTCTTCTCTAACCTGTAGTGCAAGTATGTGATGTGAAAAATGAGGAACTGCTAAATGAGAGTGAGTAGGATCGGTCATCAACAATATTTCAGAACTTGCAGCAGAACTTGAAATATTGTTGATGACCAATCCCACTCACTCTCATTTAGCAGTTCCTCATTTTTCACTCTCCTTTCGCAGTTCCTCCCTTTGGTCCTCCAACAATATTTCAGAACTTGAAATATTGTTATGGTCAGCAATTTATATGGAGCATGGATAGCATAGTGATATCCTATAAATACCAGACCCATTTAACTGGTATTTCAACTTCTAAAATGCCATTTTTAGTGTTGAGTCACTAACTTTTTGACTTCTATCAATTTCGGAATGTTCTTCCATTATTTAGATTGTTTCACCTCTATGGAAAAAAAAGTCAATTAGAAAGAGTCAAGAAGAAAATAGTGTGTTGACTAAGCTTTTAAATTACTTGTGGTTTAGGCTTTCATAGTAAAAGAGAAATGTTGGGATTTTCCATTTTCCTTCCATGAATTACTGAGAAGTTGTTTCTGGTTCTGGACACGTGTTTCCTCTGACAGAGCACCAGAGGGACGGGTGTGGAGGATGTTTTTTATCAAAAGCAAAAGCAGTCTGCAGCCGTGATAGTACTGCACCCTCTGTGATCTTTCCCTTCCAAGCCGTTGGTCTCATTGCTGAGATGCTTCTTATCTTTGTCATGTGTATAAAATTATTGCCTTAACCTTCTTGGTAGCAGTAACAGCTGCAGGACTTACTGATAGCAATTGTGTGCAATTTCATTTTCAGTGTCAAGATTAGATATGAAAAGAGACTGAAATGGGAATGATAAGTGAACACAATTTTCTATTCAGCTAGAACAATGTAGGATGGAAACTTTATTTTTGCCACTTGAAGGACTGGAGTATGCCCGCGAACCTTAAGGAAACAAAATGCAAAAATCTTGCCGAAAACAAAGGAGAAATGATTGCTGGGAACAAATTCTATAAGGAAGCTGAAATTAATTTCATTGATGCAAGTTACACAGTTTTTAATATTATTAAATAGTTAGAATGGATGAACCCAAGAAATTTGTAGTAGTTTTTGCCTTGCTTTATTAGGAAGGGAAGCGTGGTGGGGCGGGCACAAAACCCAACCCTGATACAGTTGATATATATTTCTGTTTACCCATGAAAAGTTTCTGGTTTTTATCAGTCTGCTCTTTGTAGGATTTTTTTTGGATTTCCAGTAAAAAAAAATAAATACTTGCAGTGTAGGGGAGCATACAGAAAAAAACATAGATATTCACATTTTATCTGAATAAGTATCAAGTGAATTGTTGCCAAACTTACTTTACTAACTATGGTAGAGAGATAAGGAAATCAATAACAGCTTAAGTGACTTGCTTCATGGTCACAACTGAAAAATACGTTAATATTAAGAATAATTGTGTTTGGTGTTAGTGGAAACTTTAATACGTTGATATTTATAATTTAAAATGCAGTAGGAGGAAGAGGCAACATCTTGCCTGAGTCCTTCACATTTTTAATAGCACAAATTTTCAGACTGCTTTGTTTATCACTAGATGGTGCTGTTGCCTTGAGAGAGAAAAAATGTTCCAATGCATTTGACTCTTACCCTTCTTTCTCGGGGGGGGGGGGATGAATTCAGTAAAATAGAGGCTGAAGACTTCATTATTTTTTTTTTCTTACATTGGAAAGATAAGTAATTCAAGGTGGTTACACTGTTGTATAGTTTTCTTTTTGTAGTTTTTTTTTTCCAAATTAATGAGTCTGGTCTTAGCATGGTAATAGCAAATTTGAAATAGAATTGTGGTCTATTGACACTGCTTTCAAGTTTGAGGTAGCGTAATCTGGATATTATTTTTATGCCTGATGGTGTGAAATGAATGTATGCTTATTGAATCCACTAAAAGCACAATTATTGAATTTGATTGTATTGTCTTCTGATAAGCTTTTGAGCAGTCATAAAAACATACTTTGAATCTCATTGGTATTAACTATGTTTCAGTTGCATTAAGTTAGTGCTCCTGAGCTGGGTTAAACTGAAGTATCCTATACTTTTGTTGCTAATAATTTGCAGAAAGAATGTAATAAATGGCTTTTTAGGCTTACGTGTCTTACGTGATCTGGGCTGCCTTGATGGGGAGGGATATAACTCTCTAATGTTACTGATGAAGGTAGAAGGATCCAAAACCACACTTGTGAAACTAAAGCATATTTGTTAAAACTACTTGCAAATGATTGTGCCCTTTTCTTGTCTTGTCTAGGTGTCCATTGCACACATGGTTTCAATAGAACTGGATTTCTGATCTGTGCCTTTTTGGTCGAGAAGTTGGACTGGAGGTAACTTTGAATGTTAATTCCTAGGGATTCTGGAGAGTGAGCAAAGGCATCTTCAGTATGTTTCACTCACTGTTTATTATTTTAAAACTGCCTACTAATCTTGAGCAAACAACGTATATTAGCATTACTCGTATCATCCATTGGTAGCTTAGCCTGTTTCAGTCAAGCTTTCCAGGTCCGGTAGGTCAAAAGTCAGCTGTACCTGCTGTGTGTGGGCTTTTAGGAGTGTATATATTGTATTGTGTCTCTTCCCCGTGACATGTCCCACATTTTGAGTAAGAATGTAGAGTTCAGAGATGCCTGAAAGATTATTTCTCTTTTTCATCTTTTTCATGTAGGTTTGCATGTAGGCTTTTCTGTTTTTTTGAGTTCTGAAGGGACATACTTGCTTCTGAAGGGTCGGGGGAGACAAACTCCTTGTTTCCAGCTTGTTGTTTGACTAAAGTCTCCAGCATGCTTCTATACAGTCTCACCCGGGTTTTTTGTGATTTAAAAATGTTGGTGCCTTTGTAAAGAGTAGTGATCTTTTTCAAATAACATTAGTGCAGAAAAAAAGATTGCCTGTACCATGCTGGTGGGCATGACTTTTGCATGTTTGGTAGTATTTATGAAACACTATTTCCTTGCTGATGGGGTCTCGTGCAAGGCATGTTTCTTAACAAGCCCCTTAAGCATTCCGATGATATTTCTTTTATGGTTCCTTAAGTGAAGAAAATTCTACTCCTGTTGCAGCATTTTCTTATGACTGGACATACAGTTATTTGGTGCTTAGCATGTGTGCGCAAGCTGTTTGCAAAGAACTAGGTCATTGTTGTCTGTTCGTAAACTTGGAATAAAGACATTGGGGTAGTGGAGACAGAGCACCATTAGCAGTGGGTGGCTGAATCTTGGCAGAATCTTAGCTGAGTATAGGAAGTAGACACAGATACAAATATCTTTATAGTATGATTCTAGTTGTTCCTATGAACTAGCAAATTTTTATGCTTTTAATCTAACAATTTAAAAACAGCGTGCAGTAATTAGGCTCAGAATTGGTCCTTTCTTCTGAAGAGGAAGTGCACTTGAATCTATTTGAATCCTGCTTTTATGCAGCCTCTCTTTATTTTCAAACCTCGGTGTGAAAAGCCTTAAAACTTAACGGCCATGTCTTTTTTTTTTTTTCTTTTTTTTTTTTGCTTCATTCAGGTAGTTAATGGTATCGAGTTTGTTCATCTCTGTCAGATATTCTTTTTTAACAGATCACCCAAGATATCACCTGGTAGGGAAAAATCTCCACAGCAAAAGAGTGAATTTCGGCAAGGTGGTAGTTAATGCTAAGCATGGGATCAAGATAAATCCAATTTGCTGTATCATTCTTTAAAATAAGGCACTGTTATTTGCTGATGAGGAAATAAGATTTTCCTGATGGAAAAATCCATCCATATTCATTCCCTAAGCATATTATATAGGAGCGCTGCTGGTGTATTGTGAATACTGAGACGTATTTTATAGTTATTTTAAAGAAAGGTTATCCAGACCGAAAGCTCTCCAGCTAGTGATCAGAAACCTTACTTGATTCTCTTTTTCACAACTCATATTTCCTAAAGACTGCTATGTTTCTAGAACTTCCAAAATATGTTTTCTTTCAGCTAGGTTTCTGTGCTTGATATCTGTGCTGCCTCTTTTGGCTTTCATTGCCATATATTCCAGAGTAGTATGGAGTTCTTCTAATATCATCAGAGACAAATTTGAGCATTTTTCAGGGCCCCATCCCTTTTGGTTTGTTTTGTCCTTTCAGTGGCATTGATTACAGAAGATGTGAAACAATATAAGAAAGATACCAAAATACAAAAAATGTCTTGTGAGGAAGAAATTAGGAGTCTTAAAAAACAGAATGGGGAAGAAAGCTCCTTCTAAGTAACTCAGATTCTTAAACTGTCATTTCTGAGATCTGATGACCAACCACCTGATAGTCTCACTCTGGAAAGTGCTATATTTTCTACTTTTACCAAAGATCAGAAGAGAAAACCAAACTTACTGGTTTTTAGGAAGCCTTTCTGTCTGTTCTAGGAAATTTGCCTCATAAAGTTCTCAGGCTCCTTCCCATACTGTACAGATCAGACAAAAACCTTTTGTATTTAAATTCTTTTTTCCATTTTAGCTATATGTTTTCCTTGTTCCAGTGGCAGGCTGTTTTCTTATCTGAATAAAATTCTTTTCACAGCATGTAATATATGCTTTTTTCCCAGCTTTAAGATATGTGCTTGTCAAGAAGCCTAACAGGGGCATGTACCTCTTGTGATTTCTCTTTCCTTTTATTTAGCAAATTTCTAAATGTTGGTCCATGGAGCATTACTGCTCCATGCAGCCGTGATAAATTGAAGACAGAATTATGTCCAGTGTTTTCTGTTGAACATTTTCATAGGATCTATGAAAATAGCAACAATAAAACCCTTCTGCTGTGCTTGCTGTTGTATATTTTGGAGTGTTTTCCAGTTGGCTGGTAAAGGTGCATGACTTAGTTTCTAATTTTTTTGTGATGAAGTCTCCAGTTTATTAAAGCACTTAAGACTGTTAGCTGCGTAGTAAAAGGCTTCTGAATTACAGGTTTTTTGTGAGAAACTTCTGGAAAGAGAATTAATTTCAAAAGATTAGGATGCTTTTTTCCAAGTGTGATGGCAAAACCCATAATGAGAGGAAAGGTAATTCTTAGGGGGAAAAATGTAGCCCTATTTGAATTTCAACACTTGCATTTTTCTTCATTGGGTTTGTTCGTCTTTTTCTTTGGTCTTTTTTGTCTTCATTCAGTCCTTAAGTACTTACCTACATGTCACCCATTCCTTTTCTGTAGCAATAATAAAAGTTTACCTAGGTGACCAGCAGACTGCTATTAGCTACAATAAGGAGACGAAGCAGTGCAAGCTGCAGTTACTTCTGAGAACATATGCAGTGCCTACATAATTATGCAGAATCTTGTGCAAGAGCAACTGTTGCCAAGCTGATATAAGCATGTTGTTTCAAATATAATGAATGTTTTTGTGGTTACCAGTTTGGAATTTGTTTTAATTCTCAGTCCCAATAAATCTTATGTTTGGTAAGGCGTAACATGACTAAAACATGTAAATTAAGCATTGAGAGTAATTTTCAATTTTTATTTGACAGTATTGAGGCTGCTGTGGCTACTTTCGCTCAGGCTAGACCACCAGGTATTTATAAAGGTGACTATTTGAAGGAATTATTTCGTCGTTATGGAGATGAAGATGATGCACCGTCACCACCTGAGCTACCAGAATGGTGCTTTGAAGAAGATGAAGAGGAGGACGATGATAATGGTAAAACAGGAGGCCAAGAATCAGAACCCGGATCATCAAGCTCTTCCTTTGGCAAGAGAAGAAAAGAACGCCTAAAACTGGTATTTTTGATTAAGAACTTAATATGCTAATTGCTAAACTTAATTTCATAAACTCATAGTCATCAGTTACTACATAATACATGCTATACAAATGTCAGTGCTCTTGCAAATGAGGACTGGTAGTATTGTCTCTACTCAGGAAAAACTGGTAGATTCATTGCAAGCTTTCTTTTGTTTCCTATATGAATGTTGAACTTTAACATTCAACACCTCAACTATTGCAGTTGTAAAAATGACTTAAAATTTTTCAAATGTAACAATTTTTTGTTAAGTTTGAGGTGAGATAGTAAAGCGCTTTTTAATAATTCACTTTATCTTTAGAGGTGAAATGTTATGGGGGGGTGTGTAAACAGTTTTTACTTATATTTTGTAGCCATGTGGATGAAATTCAGAATTTTTAAAATTTAGTGCTCATTTTGGTAAATATTCTTTTGGAAATTTGGGAGGCTTGAGAATTGGATTAGCAAAAAGCAACATGAGCTTAAAAACCCCAAGGCAGCTTTCAAATTGCATTTTCTTCAAAGATGTTTTAACTGTATAATGATAAGAAAAATGGCTGATCACTTCTTGTGATAATTTTGACATATATCTGCATAATTCTGATGAAATAAGTTACAGTAGTTGTCATAGTATGGAACTAATACTCCAGTACAAAGAATATACTTGTATTATCTGAAGACTAATGGCGCAGTTCTCTCCAAATTCCTGACTTTTTTATTTGCAGATAAAGTAGGGGAGAATGTTGCTGAGTGCAAAAATAGATTCAGTTCTTTTTGCATAATAATGAATTATGTTACTTGTGTGCTGAGGTGTGTTTGTTTGCAAACACTTTGAAATCCTAATATGAAATATGCTGCAAAAATGCATTTTGTTCTTACTGCAGCTGCTCAACATGGTTTACAGGTGGAGTATGTAAGAAATTAGGCTGAAAGGAACACAAAATCTAGTCCGAAGAAGCAAGATGAACTTTGAAAACTTTCAAATAGTCCATCAGCTGGAATAAAAAATTACCCACATTGTAAAATTCTGTAGTAAAAAATGTATTCAGCGATATGGCCACTACCTCCATTAGCCTTGCATTAAAACACTGATATCTAAAAAAATTTATTTGGGCTGGAACCTCAAAACTGTTTTTTTCACTTGCCTTTTACCCCATTAGTGAATGAGGTGTGATGGTGAGGTCCAATGACAGCCTCTTCTCAGTGAGTGTAAAACTAAACTGGTCTGTTTAACAGGAATCATGATACTGGCTTCCCAGGCTTTTTCTTATTTGCCACCATAGTTTTTTTGAAAGCTGGAAGCTAAATTATACGAATAAGCATATTAATAACTAAAAGTTAATTATGAGTTAGAGAATTCATGAAAGAAAGAATCATCTAGTTAATATGCATATTCGTATAATTCAGTTTTGCAGTTCTGGAGGAACATTCTTTGACATGAAGAGGAGGAACGGGGAGAATTCTTTACCATGGTTCTTGGCTGGCAGATTGGACTGCTTCTTAACTCAGTAGAGATGGATACAGTCTATTTGTGATTCCTTGTAAATATGCGATCTACAGGGGGAATGATTATCAGGTAAATACCTCTTGCTCAGATTTTCTTATTTTACTATCTGAAGGTCTAAATTTTCAGCATTACGTTGATTTCCTGCAGCAGATGTTTTCAGCCTTCTAATTTGACTCTTTCTGTAAACTCCTAGGGGTAGACAGTGCCAAACTAGAGGTGGCTGTGGTAATCGTGGTGTTCTGAAATGTTTTCATGTTGACCCAAATCTTTGTGGGGCCAGAAAAAAAGTTTAGGGGTAGAGGAGGAGGAGACACCTCGCAGGCGTCTTGCTAGGATAATGAAGAATCAGAAGCAACTGCCCAGCTAGCCTGCAAAGTGAAGTTAGCATGCTGTGCATTTCAGAAATTCCATCTTGGATGTGAGAAACTTTACCGCAGCATCTTTCACTAAAACTTCCATATTTTGATGTCAAAAAGTCTTGACAGCCTTTTTTTTCTACACTGCGGGAACTGTTAGAACATAATGCCATTGCAGTTTCCTTTGTCATCACCCAAATGTAGTTGACAGGTAACAGCAAATCTGTTTGCTGTAGTCTCAGATGCTACACAGGAAATCCGAACATGTTTTGACTTTGTCAGTGCATGCCATGATGATTGTAGCATCAAAGCAACATTATTAACTGACATTTAGAATCTCGCTTCAGGAAAAAAAAAATCTTCAGAAAAAAAATACTTGATTTTGCAAATAGGACAAAAAGTTATAATTCTGAGCCAGAACCTTAAAACTTTTTGTGGGTCAACCAGATCTTTTACTGTTTGTTAAGGAATGCCATCTGTTCTAGTCCCATGTAAGCTGCGTATTTCATAGGCATTACAGGGTGTAATAGGTAGTGCTTCTAAAATGGATGGTTACATCTCAAACAGTCTGGAAGAGATGCAGCTGTTAATGATTTTCTTCATGATTTTGAGTGCATGTGTCTTGGGGTCATCTGTGAGACAGAGGGAAACCATTAAACCTCATGGTTGACGTAGTTAGCGAGGATAATATTATTTAACTATCAAAGTACGTTGTATGTTGATTCTAAATATTAGTGACTGTTTTTTTTTCTGCTTAGCCTACTTTTTTTTGCCAAAGTTTAACCCCTATACTTATTGTTCTGTCCATGAGTGTCTTGATGGATATGGGAAAAAGATTATTTTCTGATTTTGCAGCAGCATTTTATATACTTGAATATGGATGTCATTTCCTTTTAGCCTTCTCTTTCTCCATATTAAATGCCAATTTGTTCAGTTTTTCCCTATAGTCCATATTTTTTTAATACTTCTGACCATTCTTGTCATTCTTTGTATTCTGTCATGTTGACTCACGTTTTTCTGAGAATCTGGTGCCTATAATTGAACATAAGCCTCTAGTTGAGGCCATCCTAGTGCTTAATAGGGAGGAATTAATTTCACATGTCTTAAGGCTAATACTTCTGTTTATATATCTCAATATAATGGCCTTTTACAAGACAGAATAATACTAATACAGCTTTTGGTCTCTTGCTACCTCCATATCTTTTTCGCTAATTATCTACCAGTGTGTGTTTGTGTAATTGCTTATTCCTTATTAAGTGTAGAACTTTCTTTATACTGAGTTGCACAGTGTTTTTTCCAGACCATTCCTAAAATTAAGGATAACGCTGAATTCTTAAGCTACCATCAGAGTCTGTATCCCTGTTACTAAATTCACAGATGTCACAAAAATAAGAATATGCTAATAGGAAATTTAGGGAAAATAAATTAATTCTCTTATACCTAAACCAGACCCCGCAGATCCTCCTCAATATATTCTTCCATTTTGTTAGTGGAACAGTAACTCCTCTAGACCTGGTTTTGAAACAGGTTGCCTTTCTGTTTTATAGAAGGTACATCTACCCCATGTTTTCTGAGTTCCTCTATTAGAACAAGACAAGCAAACAAAAGACAAGCCAAGACAAAAGCCAGCATCAAAAGATGTGATATTTCCTGCTTCTCCTGATTCTGCGAAGCCTGTTTCATCACCCAAACCAAATGATTAGTTGAACACCATTGTACTGAGTGACAGTCAGTATAATTTTGTTGTATCTTTTTTGTTTGTACGTGCCTAGAGGCAATTCTTGTGATTTGGTCCTGCATTTCTAGGTACTAAATCTAAGCTGATCAGCTTAAACTCCCTGGCTCTCCCTTCCTCTCTTTTAGAAGATGCGGACTCTCTCTCTTACTGACATGTTTTGGAATGTTTCTTGTCCTCTGGAAGGCAGTCTCTGAGCATATTGGCACTCGGTCAAGTCTGAGTAGCTGAAGATGGCCATCACCTGGGCCTGGTGATAGCCACTAGGGTCAGGGAGGTGTGTGTTTGGGGCTGTTCCCACTCACCCACTCCTCCAGGTGGTGTTTAGGATCTGAACCAGCACAAGATGGTACACATTGCCACTTCCCCTTCCGCTGAAGTGATGGGTGGAGGGATAACGTGGCAAGTGGGGAGAGCTTGATTAGTACAGATGGTGTGAAGGTTGTGCAGAGTGTAGATACTAAGTGCATGTAGTTACCTTGGATCCATTAGGGCTCATAACTCTTGGCTTAGTAGCAGCACTGAGGACCTGAGGTGTTCCTGCTGACTGCTGAGCTGAGTGCTCTGGCGTCTCTGCACGGTGTTCTCCAGTGTCCTGTTCCCACGGGGGGTTGTTAGCTCAACAGTGGTGCAGAAACTGCGTGGATCTGACTCAGTTTTGGCACCTTATCCAAGGAAATGTCCTCATAAAACCTGGAGCGCTGAGTTAGCCAAGCACGGATGCCCAAGTGACTCACCTTGTTTTCATAGTGCTGTGCCTTAGCTAGTGAGTATACTTGAGGCAGATAATCTGCAAGAGACGCTTTCAAATGGCAGGCACCAATTTCATGTTTGCGACTTTTCTGGAAAATCTTTCCTGTTGCCTGCCTTTTGCTTTAATCTTAGCAGTCATAGTGCCATCACACTCTGCCATCATTCTAAGAAGCAAGGCACAACCATCTTCCTTTATTTTGTGGTGCTCTTAACTACTTACTCAGAATTCAGACAACATGCTGGCCAGGCATGCGTAGCTCTCTGCCTCCCTCACCCAGTACCTGTGTGCTGTTCCACCTGCTGGTGCCTGCATAAATAACATGGGATAAGTGATGCGCCGAAAGTCTGTGGAGCTTAAGGTAATTAAGGTTATGAACTAGCGTATTTCTTTAGGATGTACTGTTCTCAGAATGCAATTTGGTGATGCAACCGAGCCAACCTTAACTAAATGCAGGCTGTACTGAAAACTGCGATCCTGCTTTCTCCTGCACTCCTTGTGTTCCTTCTGCTTCCCTTGTGCTGGCACTAGTGCTGACTCATCCTATGGTGAGCTAGTTCAGGATACTAATTTGGCAGAAAATTACTAATTTATCATGTTATTTTTGCCAGCTTAGTTCCTAGGCTTGCTCAAGAGTAGAACAGATGAGTGCCGTGGTGTGTGGAAAGGGAAGGTCGTAAAAAGGCTTCTTTCATCAGTAGTATACAGCTAGATTTGTTAAGGCAAGTTTCAAGGATTTTGGAGAACAGATATGAAATACTTGTATCTTCATTTGCAGGATTCGTAGCTCAACAGGTGAAACTTCATGCTTTGATCTTCTTAGTCTGCATTGAAAATTTGAGATACTGTTGAAATAAGTTTGGTCGATTTGGGATCTCTACAGAAATCTTTAATTATGTAGCTTTGTGGACCTGATGGCTTTAATGTGTTCTGTTGTGCAGAATTTGTTTTTAGTCCACTCGGCATCAAACTTTTTCTGGAATGTACAAATTATTTTAGAGGTTTATTTTCAGTATTCTTTTATCGATCTCTACTTAGGCTTTTTTGTAGCATTCAATATAGCACGTCCATTTTAGTAACCTGGTTTAGATTGAGAATAAAATTATGCAACTATATTTTTACACAAATATTTTGTTACAAACCAGCTGTTTATGTTTTCTCTTTTGTTATGAAGTTTGTCCTAGATCAGCTGAGAACCCTTTAAGTTTGCTACTGCATAAGTACATTCATTCTTTCAATTGTTTTCCCTACAGTGGAAGTTTAAGTTTTGAGACATATAACGTGGTAGATCACTCAGGTTGAGGTGAAATCCATGTAATTGAACTTCTGGTACTGGAATTACCATCTAGGTCTGATAAAATTAACGTATTTAATTAAAAACATGCATCTCAGATTTGGAGGGAAAAGAGCAGGACTTAATGTCTTCATGTGCTGAGATTTTTGGTTGTTTTTTTTTTTTTTTTAAAAAGACACCAAAAACCTCATGTCTAAAAATGTTTCCCAGTGACTTTAGTTTACGAATTACCAAGCTACTTATGTTTATCTCACATGCTAGATCTCTACTGTCAGTGACCAGCTCTTACTTTCCATGAATCAAGGAAAGCACGGAATTGCTGGTCTAGAAATACTATTTATGTAACAAAAAAATTTATTTAACATTTCATAGGTCCATTTTGTCCTTAGTTTCCAGTTTACTTATTTTGACGCCATACTTTTTGACACATTTAAAAGTGGTGTCACAAAGGCTTCTGGCAGAAAGGGTTTTGTGACCTTTAATGTACAGTGATTTGCTCCAGGCTTACAATACTGTTTAGGTTCAGATTCTCATCCACAAATAGATGTCTTACACTACCTTATTATTATATAATATTTTGTGTACTAAGGATGATTAATTTGATCCCTGCAAATTCCATACGCGACCAATTTACTCTTAAGTACTTGACAGTAGTGTACTTTTTTTAATAAATAGCATTTTAGTTACAAATGAAAAAAAATGAGTCAGACTGATGCTGTAGCTTGATATGGGGACTTTCTTGAGAGTACTAGCTAAACAGTGCCTATCCCTTACCATTTACATACTTTTAAATTTTTAAAAAATTATTATTTTGTTTTTTCCCCCATAAATAACTCATTTCAATTCCCGGGTTCATAATATGGCTCACCAGTGAGTTTACTGGCAAAGCTCAGCTGATGTATCTTGGTATTTGGGGGTAAATCTTTAAGGAATATTTAAGCTAGTATTGCTTGTGAGGGTCAAGTTGTAAAAACAGAATTAATCTTGTATTGCCATGTTCTGATCTGCTTTTATGAAGGCTTAAATACTAACTTTTAATTTTTTTTTATTTAGGGTGCAATTTTCTTGGAAGGAATAACAGTTAAATGTGTGACCCAGGTGACAACACAACCAAAGTTAGGAGGAATACAGCAAAAATGTCAGCAGTTCTGTGGATGGGAAGGGTATGAGAACATTTAGAACTTGTTTATTTATACTGTCTAGAAATAAGTGTTACGTTTCTAGTTTTGCAGAAAGAAACAGCTCATTGTAAAAATGAAAAAGGTGACTATTTTTGGATGGATTGTTTTAAAAAAAAAAAAAAGCAAGCCTCAAAAACACTCAGCAGTGAAACAGATGAGGATCTTGCATTGTACTATGAACGGAATGATCAACTGTTGATATTAAGAAACAAGATTCTAGAACTGCTTTTCCATTGAGAAAACAAAATGTTTTCAGATGTATTGTTGCTGTGCAAATTCCAGATGTAATCTAGTCCATGTATTTGTATAAAATTTAGTGCTTGCTAAAGCAGTAGACTTATTTATACAACTACTATTACACTTCAGTATTGAGGTATAATACTCATTTTTATAGCCAACTTGGATTTGCGTCCAATGTTAATGAGAACATCGATTTTAATGTCTCAGATTCTGAACTACTTCTTTCCAAAGCTGATGACCCAGAAAGTTGCTCACAGCGCTTCCTAACTTGCTGATGCTTATGGTTCTTCTAGTGCTTGTAATTTTGAATTCAAATATCTCTTCCTCCAAAGTTAAAACTTTTGAAGTTCCACATAATTTAGTGTGTTGTCATAAACAAATACCCTTGTTCTTATCAGATGGGCATTTAATTCCTCTTGCAAAATACCTTATTGGAGAAGATGTTCTAACTCAAAGTTAACCTTGCAGCAAGTCTGGTACAAGGTGTGACTTCAGTTTAATGTAAATAATGCATTGCCTTGTGTGACTATTTATTGCAGAACGTTAATAAACATGGTTCTTTTTTTTTAGGTCTGGGTTCCCTGGAGCACAGCCTGTTTCCATGGACAAGCAAAATATTAAATTTTTGGAGCAGAAGCCATATAAAGTTAGCTGGAAAGCAGACGGCACTCGGTAATTTCATTTTAAATGAAAAAGAAACACTCAGTAAATTGTGTAGACAGTTTGTATTTTCTCAGGAAAGTGAATTCGCTTGTACAAAGTGTATTCTAACAACAAAACTGACTTCAGAGATTAATTTTTTTGCTGTCTTGGTACCCAACATTTGCTGAAGTTTGTGGCCATGTTTCTTTTTAGCAGCTGTTCTGCAGACTGACTGTTAAATGTATGTACTTTTATTCTTCTCCATAACCCTTGCCTGTCTGTCAGCCAAGACTTGCCACCAAGGTCTTAGAATAGTCTTAGATAACAGTAAGAGTTTTTTAAGCTAAAGAATTTGTTTATAAAAGCTAAATTAAAACTTCTAGTTGATCCTTCAGAAGCTGGCTAGTATTAGAAATTTCATAGGGTTTTTTAATTTGTACTGTGATCTTTTGTTCAAACTTGTAGTTCCGGTTGGCCAAAGAGTCAATAGTTTTATCTTCCCTCACCAGTTCTTTTACATTCATTGTAGGGGTGACTTTGTTTTATAACAGACTACAACCTGATTGGATTGATTTGTTGAACCTCTTCAGTGTTGTTATTTCTGTCTTGAAATGCATCCTTGTATTTAATTTCTCCAGTATTCTCATGTTAGCATTTCAAAGTAAGAGAAATGCTATACATCATCAAATACAGAATGGTAAAACACTTTTTTCTCTGATGGTAACTGGTTATAGATCAGTCTCAACTGCATGAAACTCAGTTATCTAAACATGTGCATCTGATATCCTTGGGTATCCTTTCATTGCTTTGTCTCGTATGACAAAGCCATGTCACACAGGGTCTCTTGCCTCTACACCTAGTAGCTTGGATGAGGTATAGAAAGTATTTGCTATTCACACTGGAAAAAACACCCACATGTTAGGTGCCCTGTGTCCTTGTACTCTTGCAAAGAGGTACTGTGGCCCTTCATACAAACAAATCTTTCTTGAGTAAAATTCCAAACCTCCAAAATCATACTTATTTTCATAGGACTGAATATTTTTAATAGGTTGGAACATTTGTGAAATTACAACCATTTTCTTCATGTTTTGAAATCATCATCAATGGGGACTGATATTCTAACCTTCTGTATCTTTTCAGTATTTCTGGTTTCAAAACTAAAATCAAGAATCCCAGATGTTAATGGAAATGGTTTTAACATGTGCTACTGTCTTGGTTTCAGCTGGGATAGAGTTAATTTTTCTCCTAGTAGCTGATATAGTACTGTGTTTTGGATTTAGCATGAGAATAATGTGATAACACGGTGATGTTTTAGTTGTTGCTAAGCAGTGCTTATACTAAGTCAAGGACTTTTCACCTTCCTGTACTCTGCCATGGAGGAGGTGCACAAGAAGCTGGGAGGGAGCACAGCCAGGACAGCTGACCCAAACTGGCCAAAGGGATATTCCATACCATAAGACATCATGCTCAGTGTATAAACCAGGGGGAGTTGGCTGGAGAGCAGTGATTGCTGCTCGGGGACGGGCTGGGGATCAGTCAGCGGGTGGTGAGAGGTTGCACCACTTGTTTTCCTGGGTTTTGTTTCTCTCTATCTTTTTGCTATTTTCCTTTTAATTACAATTTATTATTATTATTTTATTTCAGTCATTAAACTGTTCTTATCTCAACCTACAAGTTTTCTTACTTTTGCCCTTCTGGTTCTCTCCCCCGTCCCACCGGTGGGGGGAGGATGAGCGAGCGGCTGTGTGGTGCTTCGTTGCCAGCTGGGGTTAGATCATGACAGCTACTCATAGCATTTAGATCACAGTCTTCCTTTTTGTTGTAGGCGCTATCCTGAGGTAATTAATAATGTAATTTCTTACATCATAGGCAACAGTGTCTCAGTAACAGGGAGAAATTAAATTGTGTGACACATCTCATTCATTTCAATAGCTTGATTTTTATTTCTAAAAGATGTTCTTTACATACAGTAGTATTTAAGCAATTGTAATCTGTGCTAAGCGGAATGACTTTAGTTTTTATTCACTTCAAGCAAATGAATAGATTTTTAACCTGCTTTGACTTGATCAGAAAAAGTGCAATTACATGGTAAGAGGAGGACTGTTACACTTACTTGTGCATAGTGCATTAGACTAGCAACAGAGTTCAGCGTTGACATGTGTACAAGTTAGAAGGCATCAGTTGTGTGGATGAAGTGTATGCTTTCAAAAACAGGAGGTAAGATTTTCTGTTTTCAGTCTGGAGAAGTTAAAATACTGGTTTTGTGTATAGGTACGGGCAAAAGAAGTTTTGTTTTAGCAGTGCAATGGAAAGCATTCTCCCTTCCATGTGCTGAGACAACAAAGTACAGTTTTGATACTAAATAAACAAGCAGCGTGGGCTGTCTTCTAAAGTTTTTCCTGCATTCTTTGTTTTGTTAGGTTTGTTATCTTTAGTAATAGAATGGAGTATCCTTGATAATGAAAAGCCTGGAAAATATGGGGAATTGGGTGTCTTATGAGAATTACCAAGTGGCTCCGCATGGAGTCAGTCAGGTTTCAGCACAATTCAGCCAGAACTAAGCTGTGTCCTATTAAAAAAAGAAACCTTCAGGTGTCGTTCATCTATGGAGTTTGTACTTCAAGGGTTTATTAGCTGGGGCAGAGCATGGTGTGAAAATACAAAGTAAGCTTGCACTCAGTATGTCATCCAAGCATTAAGAAATGGGTGGGAATATTTGGCTTATTAACACTGGCTGGCTGTATGCGGAAGCACTTGGGTAATGTGATGCAGACGTTCTCAGGGTGCGAGGTTACAGAAACATGGTGTTGTGAGATTCAGGTTTATTCTCAGAGCAGTACAGTGCGTTCAAAAGCTGCTGAGCCTAAATGAGTAAACTCAGCCAACTTAAACTGACCATGCAAAGAGCCAGATGGGAGTCTTTGCATTTATTATGCTTTAAATCCACGTTCCAGATATACTGCCCATGGACTTGACTTGTATAACTCTGAAAATTTGTTTACAAAGTATTAATGTCCTGTGCAGCTCAGATGTTGGTAATCCTTGCCTTTTTTCACAGCTTAGTCCTTCAGGAAGCCTTTGTTTTAGGGATTGGTTTACACTAGTATTTTAGTGTGTATTAAAGACAGTTTATGGACATTTTTTCATATAACTTAAGCCTATTGCTTCAAGAAATAGTAATAGGAGAAAATAATTCTGTTTTTAAAATAATTTCTTTACAGAAGGCCATTTGATATTAAAGAAAAAAATTGCTTCATCTACAGTGTCTCTAGTGTGCATTGCCACTGAAGAATAATCTGTTCAAAACTGTGGGTCTTCAGCTAGTACAGATTGGTATGTCTTAGAACAAATATAAGATGCTGTAAAATTACAGTTAGTGCTATTCCATAGGGTTGTAAGCTGTTCTCCCACATTTCTTTTTTTGTTTGTATTTTCAATATGAAGAGTCTTTCTTTGTCATATCTTATGTTATTCATTTGGAAAATTGAAGTCTTATGGAATATTCTTATTTTCTTGCTCAAATGTACAGGATGCATACATTCTGAATACTAGAATAATTATATAGAAAATAGTGCACCTGGAAGACTGCCTTTTGTGAAAGAAATTAAAATGCACCTCCAATTTCTTGTAGGAATTTTCAGTACTTTTGGACATTCTATCCTGTGTTTTTAGAGTTCTAGAATGGTGACAAAACAGAATGCATGAAGAACAAAACTGAGGGAACTAAATAGTTCTTTTAAATTTTCTCAAAATAATAACTTGTGTTGATTAGGGAGATACAGACTGATAGGTATATTCAGAGGAGAAAATGGTGCTACAAAGACCCAGTGTTAATGAGATGCAGCTGATGGAATGTTGTGAAAGAGAGATTAAAGATGAAAACCTGAGCTATTATTTGGACATTCAGACACTGTGCATGATAGCTACCCTAATCAACAATGAAAAATGACTATGGCAGTTTTTACATTGGACGTGCTTCTAATTATTTTGTTGTTCTCCAATGATCCAGACTCCATAGGCAATTAAACAGATTTTCATTAATTATTCTGAATGCTTATGTTGACAGGCGTGACCTTCCTGAATTTAATATTAAGACATCAGTTAGTGGAGATCCCCTGCTTACTTTTATCTGGAGATGAAACCCCTGTCATCAAATATCTCTGAAGCTATTCTGTTAAGTGTGGTTTAGATGCAGCAGTCTAGGGTTTGCCTATTACAATATTATTTGGCTTGCATATGTTTTTTTGTTTTGTTCTCTCTTTGCTGAAAAAAGCACTGCTGTTTCATTGACCTGATTGGACTTAAAGGAAAGCAGATGCTTAACTAATAACTTTATATTACACTTTCTCACTTCAATAAAACGCGCGTATCTCAGTTAATAGCAATATTTGCTCAACTCAGCCAAACTTAAATTTCACCGTTGTTAAATACCTGCATTTTATTCCTGCAGCAGTAGTTTTCTTTAGAGGTTTCATGGCTGAAGCCTTTATTTGTAGATTATCTTAACTGACATGTAGGGTCAGTAATTTCATTGAGGACTTGTACTTTTCTCCAAAGGCATTTGCTATTCCTAGATTTCAACTGGAGCTTTCACCCTTCTGGTTTAAGAGCTGTGTTGTTGGTGGGGTTTTTTTTGTTTGTTCTTCAGTGGTTGAACAGTGTTGATCTGCTGGAGGGTAGGAAGGCTCTACAGAGGGATCTGGACAGGCTGGATCCAACCTTAATGATTCTATGATTGATGGTCCGAGGCCAATTGTATGACATTCAACAAGTGCCGGGTCCTGCACTTGGGTCACAACGACCCCATGCAACGCTACAGGCCTAGGGAAGAGTGGCTGGAGAGCTGCCTGGCGGAAAAGGACCTGGGGGTGTTGGTCGACAGTCGGCTGAATATGAGCCAGCAGTGTGCCCAGGTGGCCAAGAGGGCCAATGGCATCCTGGCTTGTATCAGGAATAGTGTGGCCAGCAGGACCAGGGAGGTGATAGTGCCCCTGTACTCGGCACTGGTGAGGCCGTGCCTCGAGTACTGT